ATACGGGGCTGAAAACAGGGGGGCGTGTCCAAAGTGCGCTGGTGCACGGGGAAGGTGTGGCCGAGGCAAACAATCCAGAAGAAATCCATAGAGGGAATCCAAAAACACAAAAATAAATCCATAGCCAGGTGATCCATCCAAACTAGGAATTAAAACCATGAACCGGGTCGGAACTGGCGGACAGGGAACGGGAACAGAGATTAAAACCTTAACGGGACCAGGCGCTTCCAGGTCCTGGACTCGCATGGTGCGGAAACCAGATGCAGAGCCAGGATGAACGTCAGCGCCTGGCTTTTAAGGTGGGCTGGGAAAAGGGGTCAGGTGCACAGAATTAAATCTAAAGTGAAAGAGCTGGAGCACCCTTAAAGAGGGGGAACTATAATCGTGACAGTTTGAAGATCTCAATGCCCATCTCTTCGCTCAGTCTTGAGGTTTGAGAATACTCAAAGTTATGGGATGATAATAGTGTGGCTAGTTGAGCCGTGTGGCTCATGGGTCTGGAGAAGTGTTGCCCAGTTCTGGTCCTGGTGCTGGTTTTTCATTCCATCCTTCAGTAGATAATTGAAGCCATAATTGATCGAAGAAGTCAGTTTATTGGAATGTTTGCATTTTGTTTCTAGTCGCAAGTTTGCAATTTTCTTTCACTTACAAAATGTAATGGTTAAAGCTCCAACATGTTTATGAGCTGGGAAAAAAAGAACAGTTTAAATCATTCTTATTGTTACACCAATGGAGTTTCCGATTGTGTAAATGAGCGCTGGACTGGAACAAAACACAACAGGTGTGTAGGTCACTAGGATTGGGATCTACGGGTCTAGGGTTGTGATTATCACTTTGTGTGTCAGAGATGGCCTGGGTTAAAATCCCAGACAATCTTGTCCCTGTTCTTGATGCACTCCTCTCATCTGTAGCCAGCCATTCAGTTTGTTTGTTCTCATCTCGACCTGCTGAGCCTTATTTCTGACCAAACTGCAGTGGTCTTGTGATGAGCAGACAGGCGGGAATGACACTGTAATTACACTCCCGCAATGAAGATTGTGTCAGCCTGCCGAAGGCCCGGTTAGTTTCAGCCAAGAACACTGGAATTCTGAAACCCAGAGTCCCAGAACTGGAAGTAAAGCCTGGGATTGAGAAGATGGTTGGAACCAAAACCAGAAGATACCTAGACTTTCCATGGCCTGGTCTGGGTGCTGATGCTACTGATCAATTTCCTGCAGTTTGCTGAAGTCCACTGTCCTTTCTGTTTTGGAAAGTCATGATGCTGGTGGGTTTTCATTCTGCCTCAGCCATAATTTGACTTAATGAAGGCCAAGAGACACCCACACCTGGTCTTCAAGGACTGTTGTCCATCATAGATTTATAGATCTCTTTACAGCTGCAGATTCTTAAGAGTAAAGAATGTCTGCAAGCTGTGCAACTAAGCAAAAGATGAGTTCTGGTTGGTCATCAAAGACTCAGGGATGAGGAAACCCTTGTGGTCTCTAGTCCTTAGGAACCGGTCGCTGTACCCGTGTGTCCCTAGGCATGTGGATTTACAGACAGATCCATGTTTAATGATTTGTGCAATCATTCAGGAAACAATATTACTAGGGAACAAGCATTTTCCTGAAAACAAATAAAGCAATAAAGCCAGCTTTTTTTGCAGGGACAATCTGGTAATACCCCACACCCCAGTGTCATGGAAATGTGCCGTAGAGTCTAGCTTTCAGCTTTCTCTTGCTGTTTCTACCGTTTCTTCCTGTTGCTGTCCGCTTTCAACTGCCACCTTCCTGCGTTGCTCTGTGCGCCAGCCTCCCTCCCTCTTTCTCTCTCTCACTCGCTTGTTCGCTCTCACTCCTACTTGTCCGTCTGGGGGAGGGAACAGCCCGAGTCTCAGAGAAGCGCTCCAAGCAGAGCTTGCCTGTGCCGACTGCGTCCCTGAACTGCCAGCGCGCCTCGTCTGCAGTGAGTACAAACTCCTCTCCTCTGGGCTCTCCACCGTCACGGAGTAATGTTCACACAATGTACAATCTCACAACACCTCTAGAAACTCATTTTTGGTTCAAGTTGAATATTAAATTGCCTACTTTCTTAAGCTTTAATACTACATTTTTAAGAATTTTATTTTTGCAACTATTTTCTAAAACAACATTATCTGATAAAACAGATTGGCATTTAAATGAACATTTTTAATCATTTCATAGAATTAGTATGTGGTGATGTTATTCAAAAGATTAAAAACATTGATACAAAATTAGTATGGTTTCAAACGTTAAATTGTATTAACTTTATTGATGCATTTAAGGCTTTAAAGTTTGAAGGTTTTGGTTCAGTAAAATGTTTTTTTTTAATTACATTTTCATGAGTTTTATAATTTATGAAGACTGACGCATGTCCCTCATTGGTTAGGGTTGTGCCTGAAAAAACACAACATGATCGTTTTAAAATGTCGGCAGTTGTCGGCAATTAAATTTGTTTTGCTTTCTATAAAGATTCAGGTCCTTTTGTGCACAACCAGGAGATACTCATGTAAGCAAAAAGAGCAGAAACCTGTACTAATATATTTATATTTAATTTTCTTCTCATTTCTTTCTGGCTTGTAACAGAATTGTGTTTTCTTTCTCAATTCTACAGGATCTATGTGAAAGTATATTTCTACTAACAATGGCAATACAAAGACACATTCTCACAGTGGCCCCTACAATAAAATATTCACACAGCACAGAATAATAGCTGAGATTATCCATTAACAAAAATTAACAGCATTGACATGCAGGAGAGAGTAATTGTACTGTATGTGTGGGCTGGTGTCTGCAGGTTTTACATCAAGAATGAGATACAAAGACAGAGGAGTGAGAGACAGGAAAGAACACATTAGTTGGTTTTCTGCAGAATGAATTTCAGACAAAATCTGCCACCCTACTGTCTCATGACAAGAAAGAAAGACATGGTTAACACACTTTTTTCTGCTTATTTGCTTAGTAACAGTTAATGTGGTCTAATGACTGATATCAATTTCTTTACACAAAGGGTTCACATAGTTTAGATCAGAAAGTTCAAAAGGAAGCTCCATTGATCAAAACCAATGATCCATCAGAGGGTAAATTTGAAAGGAAACTAAACTACAGACTGAAATGTGCTTGTGTTCAGACAGATTTCTCTTTTTTTCTCTTACAGAACAGATCAGAAATGATGAGAGGAGAGATCTGCCCACTACTTTGTCTTGGTGAGTTTCAGTTTGATAGACTTTAAATGCAGTGTTAATGTGGAGTCCTTTCAGTCATCGAGCAAGTCCATGAGTATGCTTTGCTGTAATCCTCACATTGCCCTTTCATCCAATCAGAGGTCCATGATTATAGAATGCTGTAACTCCCTCATGGTCTTTTAAGCCAATCAGAGTTCCACAATTATGGAATGCTGACGTTCTCACATGGTCTTTTCAGCCAATCAGAGGTCCACAATTATAGAATGCTAAAGTTCTCACATGGTCTTTTCAGCCAATCAGAGGTCCACAATTATGGAACGCTTGTGTCCCCAAGTAATTGTTGGCGTTATTCTCGTCTCCTGACTTCTCTCTATGATTCTACAGGAGTGTTTCTACACTATGCATATGCCGATGTGTTCTATGCTGTAATAAACAGCCGCAATCTGGACCTCCCCTGTGGCGTGGACACGGACACACCTGACATCCAATGGAAATACAGAACACCAGGAAGCCAGGAATACACTCTGATACTCTCCACTAACACAAGAAGTGGTGCAACTCGCAAAGGTAGGACACTTGAAAATAGTGACCGTCTATGTCCCATCATCCCCACCACACTCTGAGTCAGGACTGGACTCCAATTTTACTGGTGGGACTGAATGCAACATGCAGTATATCTTTTAGAAGGTGGTTTTGTATAATACTGTCTCTTGGTAAAACTTTAAACACATGTCCTGTGTCTAAACTTTTATTTAAAAATGAGGGAAATCATTTTCATCACCTTTGTCAATATCGATTTCTCGTATGTATCTTCAAAACTGATGAATGTACAAAGTTCGAATACAATTCCTAACTAATTAGTATGAATGAAACTAAGATTGAGCACTCAAAGATTGTCATTATACTGTAACATCTAGCATTTCTCAGTCCGCCGAAGGGAGCACATCACCATCCTGAACTCTGTAGAGCTGAGGAGCTCTTGAAGGGGTCTGCTGAATGACGTTTGTATAGCATGGGGATCATGGTTCTCCAAATTCACAGGCATTCAGTCTGCATGCTGTAGCGTTGTGGTTATACTGAAACAATGTAGGTAAAGATAAGAAAGAAAACACTGAAGATATGATAGACAAATATTAGAATAATTGAATGTTAACATTAATCTATGTTAATAGAACCTCTATCACACCCCACACCCACCCCCACAACCACACTACACCCACCATGGAGCATGAAAGTGTCAGATTGAAGACAATGCCTTTGAGGCAACACTGAATATGTAAGCCTGGAGGATTCAAATGGTTGCAATATGAGCATCATATATCACTAGGAGACCAGTATTGGGAAGGAGAACAATGGGATACCCTAACATCTATTTTAATGTTCTTTCTTATGAAACCTCTTCTCTGCTAATATTTAATGTGGAAGACTTATTCTTTAGCCTAAGTTCTTGTAGGTCTCTTCCTTACCAAACACCCAAATGAAACTCATTTTCCTTTCATTACCTACTATTCCCTTGAATTTTATTTCTGCCGCCCTCTAAGCTGATCTTGTCAACCTCTGTGTGCAATGTCGAACCCTAACGCCCCATGGGATGTTTTTCTTCTTGTGTTTTCTGCTTCAGGGCAAGGTACACATCTGCAAAGCAGAACCAGGATAAATGGCCGCGGTCTCCGGATCTCCTCGGTCCAGAAGGGAGACTCTGGGTTTTATCGGTGTGACCAGGGTGGGAGACAGACAGAGCACCAGCTCTTACTTGTAGTAGGTGAGTATCCCACCGCCAGCGTCTGAGATACACAGTGGAGTCTGCCTTTTTGTGTCAGTGTTAGTCGCTGTCTGACTCAGTCTAACAGAGAGAAGACAGCAGGACCATAACATGTTGTTATTCTTAGCTTTTTCTCTGTAACGTCGTTCTCTCACATTGTGTTGATGTACTGCAAGGTCCAGTCTGTCAGTGACTGTATTATCCCTTTCTCAAACTACAAAGTTCAATGTTAGCCTGTCATTCAGTGACTCTTCAGTGTATTGAGGCCAGCCTCTCTCTCTTTCAGTGTCCGCAGACCCCCCAAGCCCACTCCTGCAGTCTTCCAAGGTGATCCTGCACTGCCAGGTTGAGGGCGGATCCTCGCCCAGACGGAAGTGGCTGTGGCCCAATGGGACAGATGCTCAGAGCTGGGGGGAGGGGGATATGGAAATGAAAGGTGTAAGCCACACCCACCACGGAGCATGGAAGTGTCAGATTGAAGACAATGCCTTTGAGGCAACACTGAATATATATGTCTTAGGTACAGTATGTGTCTTTAAGTTGTACTTCTACAAACAAAAGTTATGTGTAAATAGCAGGGGTGATTCTGCCTTGCATCTTGGGGGTGGGGGGTTATACACTCCCTGCTTAAGATAAAACCACCTCATCTTCCATCTGTATAACCTGACTTGAAAAGAGCAGCACTGACACAAGTAAACATACTTCTGGAAAATGATTAATATCTGCCACCCTCTGCCTGGAAGTGAAAGTCTGCAAGCAGGGAGTCTAAACTGTAAACGTATCTCATTACTCCCCCTCCTCCCCAACTAACAGAGGTAACCCAGTGGACCTCCTCAACGTCTACAGTGAAAGACAAGTCCTGACTGAATTCCACTCTGGGTTGTACAGTCTGGTCTCCTTAAAGCTCCCCATTAATGCTACTGATGAACCAATTTCTCATTCCACCTGATCTGCTGTGTAGTGGGGCTGCTGGTGCAGAATGATGGCTACACCTCAATCCATGAGGGGTACACCTCAGTGGTACATGAAGTCGGGTCCCCTCTTATATGTAAAACGCTTTGGGGTGAAAAATACGATAAAAGTGCATTGATTAAGCGGTTATTTAAAGAATAAGATAAAAGAGGCTGTTAGATCAATTAGCAGGTAGCAATAAAACATGCTAGATGTGTCAATGTGCTCTTGTTTATAACAATTCTTGTGTTCTCATGAGCTTACACAGCTGGTGACACCAGTGGTTTAACGCACACTTATGTTAGTGACGTTAACTTTAATTATTTAACAATTCAGTCCATCCTTTATCCTTTTCATTACACTTTCCCTTTGCAATCTCTATATAACATGTTTCTTCTGGAAATCATTTGGTGCAGATACTACACTCTCTCTCCTGCTCTCTCTATGGTGTTAAATACTGTAAGTGCAGTGAATTAGCAGGTCGGCATGTCAGTCTGTGTTAAACCTTCCGTATTCTGTCTCTGTTAGGTATTAAGCCCCTGACCCAGCCAGTCCTGAGAATTAAGGAGGGAGACACTGTCGTACTGCCCTGTCAACTTTCGGCCTCTGTCTCCAACATGTTAAGTCATCTGTCCTTCATCAGAGGAGGGTGGAAGATTGAGTCCTCACAGCATCCCCTCCTGTCTCTGCGTAGTACAGGTGAAACAGGGCTGTGTTGGAATGAGACAAAGCTGAAGGGAATCCAGAACATTTCTCAGGAAAAGTTGTACACTGACCTTTCAATTTCTCTGAATGAGGTATCTATCTATCCCTGCCTTATACTAAATTTGAGTAATTTCTCTCTGCATTAGTTGTGTCTCTAGGGTCTATATTAATGTCTGTATTAATCTCTATGTGTTAGGTCTGTCTCTGGAATCTATAATAGGGTCATGTTAATCTCTACTTGTATTTGTGTGCTACAGTAGATGTGTTTCTGGGGTCTACATTAGGGTCTGTATTAATCTGTTAGGCTTGGTTCTAAGACTGTACAACCATATTTTATTTGCCCTTATAAAGTGCTTTTGAACATTTCCCAGGTATTATTAGGAATATTTTAAGTACTTTGGGGCTTCAGTGCTATTGGGTGATGTCACAAGACATCATAGTGCAGAATGGAGGTGGACACTGGCCAGAATTCACCTCCCAAAAAGCCAGATGATTCAGTCATGACGGAGGGGTTGATTGATTTATTGATTGCCTCATTGATTGCAGGTGAAACCAGAGCAGTCAGGTATTTACTGCTGTTTTCTGAGTTTCAAGGAGGGGACGATCAACTCCACTGTCACGTTGCAGGTGGAAGGAGCTCCAGGAGGCATGGAGCACAGCAGTCATTCAGGTGAGTTCAAATACTGACGTTCAGCTGGCCTGGGTAGTAGCTGAAATTGACAGTTATGGTGTTTCATGTACATTTTCAAATCACAAATGTTCTCTACACTTTTTGCTCATCTACAGTATAGGGACAGAGAGGGCCTGCAGTTGTGCTACACTGACAGGCCTACCTGTCACAGCAATTTATCAGCTGACAAGTTAAGAGCTCCCCTGTGCTTTCTGGATGGTGTATTTCCATAACTTCTCCCGGTAGCATTTCCTGTTATTTGTCCTCTCTCTTTCACTCATTCCCTGCATGGTTATAGGTACGGGCATTGTAAGCTTCCTCTTCCTCTTTGTTTCAGCCTCCTCTCTTACCCGAAAGCCAGACATTCAATCCACAAATTTGAAGCTGCGTTGCACAATTGAAGGCGAGACCTCAGATAGGCTGACATCACTGCTGGTCAATGGGACTCAGACTCAGAGGCCACAGGAAGGGAACAGAGAGAGAAGTTCTTCATACCAAGGAAAGCTGGAATGTCCAATTGGAGATGCTGACATAGCAACTATTGATATAGTTGAGTTAGGTATGGTGTGTTTCAGTGTGAATGCATTCTGTACCTGCTGTGTAAGAGTATCTTTAGATCTCTTTACTTGTATTTGTAGTTCTATGTATCATGGCCCATGTATCTAACCATATACTGTATGCATTAATCTCTCTCGTGTGCTTTACCTGTAGCAAGGTAAATGCAGAATCAAATTAATCTGTGTCTTGCATATCCCCATCTATTGCTTTGCCTGTGCTATGCTGTGCACTGCAATGTCCAGTCATTCAATAATGCTTTCTGATGAAAACTGCTAAGTCAATTGTATTAAGTGATACAAAGTGAGGCCCAGCCCATCAAGGCATCTGATAAAACACTCGCTCTCTCTGATTCAGTCCAGCCAAGTTCTGTCTCAATCCTCGGGATGACAATGGAGCTGTGGGTTCTAGTGGTGATCACTGTGGGGTCCATCCTCTTGATCATCCTCACCATCCTCACTGTGGCTCTGATAGTGAAGAACAGGAGGCTGCAGGTAAATGCACCAGCGTTGGTATGTGCTTCATATTTCAAAACCATTAAGTTGTCACTACGTAGTTTGTGAGAAATGGCAAGAAATGAAGGCGACACTAAGGGTTACAAAAGGATGTAGTAAAGGAAAATAAAAACATTTTAGTTCAGCAGAGCTGTGACAATTTTTGTGCAGTATTTTGCATTGGGTGAATTGAGGCTGCAGCAGTTAAGACGCCAACTTCCAACTTGGACGTGGGAAGTCAAGTCTGTCCCAAGCCGTGACATAATTGACCCATGACTGTAAGGCTCACTCCAGTCCTGACCTGTGCCTTGGTGCTGTCTAATCAATCACTGCTGCCCTCTGGTGTCGGTGCGGTTCATAGTCACATTAGCGGCACTGCAGGTGAAGGCAAAATATGTGAACAGTGTCTTCCCCGCTGCCCTTTGAAAACTGAAAGTTGTACATTTTCCTTGTAGCAGTAAAGCGAGAAAACATTGTCCGTTAACATCCACTGTTGTTTTTGTCTTCTTTTCTTCTCAGAATAAACAAGAGTCCCACAGACAGTCCACATCAGACAACGAATATATCTAGTAATACTCTTCTCGACACTACTACTGCTACTGTCTTTTGCACGTCTTCTACTTCTGTGACTGTGGTTTCAAATATTACTAATCTTACATATAAGTACATTTCTTAAATATGAGTATGTTGCAAATACTACTTTCACTGTTGCTTCTATAATTGTTAATAGATTAAATATTATAATTGAACAAGCACTTAAACTGATTTAAGATGTAGCAAAGCTAAAACCTCTACCACGAATAATAATGTTAATCATATTAATGCTGCAAGTAGATTTTTTTGTCATAGAGTAGCTGCAATTGTGTCTATTTCAATACTCATAATTAATAATCAGTACTGATAAAATTATTTTTTTTATTGCAGCAGCAACATGAACAGCACCTTTGGAAGGCGGAGAGAGAATGCCCACTCCCAGAAGCGCCCGGTTTACTGAAGAGAGGGTGTGACGGGGTGGGAACGATTGTGCGTGAGTGGAGACAGAGAGGGATGCGTGTAAGTGTGATGGTGTGTGTGTGTGCACAGAGAGAAAGGGAAATAGAGACTGTGAGATAGAGTGTAGAAGTGAAAGAGAGAGAGAGGCTGCACGAGACAGAGGGAATTTGTCACAAAAGGAGCAGTACTTTGGGGGGATACTGCAATTGTAACGGGAGCCGGTCCAGGATCCCATGAAGCATAGTTTAGGACCCTATGCAGACGGTATAATCCGGAAGTAAGTGGAGAAGGACAACAGGGAAAAGACGTAGAGGATCAGGACGGGTTGACAGACAGGGGGGTGTGACGACTGTGATCCGGTGCTCGGGGGGCATGGCGCAGGCAAACAAGTTCAAACAGTCCAAGGGTGGAAATCCCTGGCGCAGTCCAGGGTCCAGGAACCAGCAGAAACATCAGAGACAGTGGTTAAAATCCGGAACAGGATCAGGGAACCAGGTAGATAAAACCAGGATAACGAGCCAGGTGCCCCGAGCCCCGGACTCAAATGGTCAGGATGCCGTGATGAAGCCTATGCCGTCGGGTCTCTCTTGGACCTGCTGGTAGGTGGGCTTCTGGGCGTCCATCTTCCAATGCTGAGCCAGGAATAGCGGGAAAGCCAGGCTTGAATAATGACAGACAAAATAGGCAGCAGGTGCACATCATGAACTAAAATACCAAAGGGTCGGAGCGCCCTTAAAAGGAGGGATGACGATCGTGATGGAAATAAATACTTCAGCTGCACGGATATCAATTTTGGGGTGGACCCAGCCTATGAACTGTACAGTATGTCTCTGCTGTACTATGGCCGTTGCGGCTATTTCCTATACGCTTTGTAGAGCTTAGTGCTTAAGTAGGATGTGGAAGTGGCCCTGAAACTCATATGGACCCTACCTGACCCTGATTAAAACCACCAGTGTAACAATGTGGGATTTTTTCTGAGGAATTGTGGAGCCTGGATCTTGAGAAGTGTCTGACTCCAGCACCAGCATTGTAAACCAGACTGAGAAACGGGACAGGGAAAGAGTGTTTCGTAAGAGTGCGCAGCATGTGAAATAAAGAGAGAGAGAGTGGTGTACAGTATATACATCTCAGATTTGTTTATTGTATATATTCCCTTTGTCTGAATTGTTACAATATCTTAGGGTTGAATACCTGGTGAAATTTCAATAAAGTGCTTCCTGAGCAGCATCAGTGATTCATTTCTACCTCAATATACTGTATTGTTTTAAGTTACCAATGTTAAGTTACAACAAATTGCTACTATAGTTTAAACACATTTCTTAGACCAACGAAGGAATTATTTGAGCCTGGGTGGCTTAACTTGATTATATGTTTTATTCTATCAGTTATTCCAGTTGTAGGTCCATATTATCCTTGGGATCCTGAAAGATCCTGTACAGATTTGTGCTAAATGAGTGGACTCACTTTGTCCACCACCGAGACACAGCTGCCCCCAGTGGGACATGTGGCAACAGAACGACTACATGTGGAGGGAGATTTCTCCAGTCGAAGAGAAGAAATGAAGAATAGCTGATCTGCTCTTGCTGGAGGGAAGGACAGAGGAAGAGAGCTGCTGCAGTTGCGGGGGGATGAAGAGAAGATAATCTGCTCTTGCTCAGTAGAGAAAGCAGAAGAGTAACTAGTGGTTGAAACTATTGTGGAACTGAGTTGCTCTTCCTTAAGGGGAAAGCAGAAGAGTAGCAGGGCCACTTCAGTCAATGGGGAGAGGCAAAGATTAGTCAAGATGCTCTCACTGAGTTGAAGAGTAACAATCCAGTTAAAGGGGAGATGCAGGTAAGCTAGGCCAAACTGGAAAGCACCCAGGACACCAGAGGTATTGTAATCAATTCTGCTTAAGGAAACCACAGTTTCCTGCTTCTGCCAGTAGTAATAAGAATAACACATCATAATAATTGCACAAGCACTTCCACTAATGATCATGCCATGTGAAATTATTGTAAATAAACCTAAAAAGTAACCTTGTTGGATCGCCAAAGACCACAGCTGTGGGGTCTGTAACCCAGGGACAGACATATGATTCCAGCTACTCCATTGAATATGGGATTGAAAGAGCCAAGAGTTCACCGTCACTGCTGTTTCAGGTGAGTTCATCACTTTGCGTCAGACATATAAGGTACAACGAACGACACCTTCTTCTTTTTTTTTTGAGTGTTTCTTTATTTCTAGTCATACAGAAATGATTATAAACAATACACAGCGCAAAGGAATGTGAATCACGGGGAATCAATGTAAAGCGACCATGAACATACATGTACGACAGTACAGTAACTATCCAAGTACAGTTCGTGTCCTTTTTTACCCGGTGTTATCGAACTCAACGGCAGAGGGAGTCAAACTGCAGTTCGTGAGAATCCCTTCATAAAAGTCCCCAAACCCAACCATGGTAGCAGAACTAATGCTCACAATTATTATCTCTGGTAGTCGCTTTAGTTGGTACAAGTTACCGGACTGTGGCTGTTGTTTTTTTTGTGCGTTTTGGCCAGTGTTCTAAGAAATATGTTGTTGTTGTTTTGTTTTTGTTTGTTTTTTTTTGGGGGGGGGGTTACAAATATGAATAAGATGCCGAAGAAGCAGCAGACGACAGAATCTTGAGCATGGAATGCAAGAAAGAAATATTATTGTTGATTTAAACATAAACAAGTCGTGTTGGTAAGATCTGGAAGGCAGTTTTCTCAGTTTTCTGCAGCCCTACAAAACTGCCATTTGGAAGGCATCTGTGACTCGGTTTCTCTTTCTCTCGCGCGCCCGTGGGAGGGAGCGGTGCGTGAAATCGGCGTGTGAAACAGCCGAGTGGCAGGGAGAGAAGATTTGTGCTCTTGATCCTGCCCGCCCGGCTGCCAGCTTCGCATTCCTGGACTGTGCACGGACGGTAATTTCAATAATATTGTTACTGCCTCTTTTGTTAATACAATTAACCAGGTGTGACAGCGACTTCGAACATTATGATGTGGCTCAGCTCTTCAGCTGTGTAGCTCTGTAGTCTGCATACTGCATGTATGTTACACCTGCGTTTAACTTGACAAAGTAGGAAATGCTGAAAACGAAGACAAATCTCATTAACATTGGCTTTATTGTTTGTTAATCAAATCAAACGTAACGACTTCTCCTTTAATCGAAACGATGTATAGGCTGAGTATTTCTGTGACCTTATCTTTAACAATTAGAAATGGTCTGTTGCAGTCAAAAGCGTACTTGCAGATATCCTGACAAAAAAAAAAGATTAAAAATGCTTATTTCTGTGTATAAAGTTTACATTTCGAGCTTCATGGTAAGGCTAATGGCTCAAAGTTGAAGACACGCAGGTACGAACTGGGAAATGCCGGCTCTATTATGGTCTAAAGAAACGTTCAAAAATTTCCCCTGCAGATTTAAGATTTATCTTAGATTAAGTATTGCATATAGAAATCTAAGATAAATCATTAATCTGCGATGATGCCTTAAATCGAAACAGCACTGCAAAACAGTAGAAATAAAGAGAACAATAAATGAATCTAAAAACAATTCTAGAAAATAATTAAGTGAGCTACGTACTATATACAATATTTGCGCTCATGTACAGTATATGTAGAATTAGCATCTTTGTGTTAAATTTACTATTGACTAATTACCTACAGTACCTCTGATAAAGTGTACATCACAGGTTTTCCCCAACACAACTTCTACAACAAACAAGATATTTAATTAATTTACGGCGCCATCTCAGCACAGACCCAATGAAGATCGAGATACTCAATCTAAAATCTAAATGTTATTAATTTACGCTTTAGCAAGTTTATAGCGACTTCAAACAGATGCTAGAAACGGCCTTACGCGTTTTGATCTCAGATTTACTTTTTAATAAACTTTTCTCTTGAATTATAGTTATTATTTTGAATACAAAGCTCGCGCTCAGCGGTTGATTTCTACACCCCGGTTCGGTATCAAGTTTCTTTGCTCTTTTCATCTCCATTTTTCCCTTTGTTCTCCGTTTTTCGTCTTTCTTCCCCATTTCTCCTTGTTTTAATTTGTCTCCCCTCTCAATGGTTTCAGTAATATACCGAGAAACTAAAAAAATGAGGCCTGTAGGACTTAAGAACAGAAACTCGACTTTATTCCTTTTATTAAAACCAGCAGAAAACAATTGACGATCACGAAATAAGAGACTTCTGCTTTAAAATCAACCAAAGCACATCGCAGCGTCACGTATCAATACAGAGAAAAATAACAAAGCGTGTGGTACCTACAATTTGTACAAAGAAGTGCAGTTTCTCTTTAAAAGTAAAACTTTTCAACCCAGTTTTTGCAGTTCAATTTTCTCTTTTTTCGCCCTGAGCTATTCACCTTCACCAGAGAAGCACAATTTTTGTATGCGACGTCATGCCCGAGAGGCGAAGGGGTATTGGCGACAGAATGTAGTTGCATCTAATTTTTAAAGAAATGATCACTGTTGTAATGGGGAACTCAAATAATAAATGATAAAACAATCATTATTTTTTTAATTAAATCCCCGAATACCAAATGTAACAATAAAATGAAGCAGATATTTAAGAGATTATTATTATTATTATTATTGTTGTTGTTGTTGATTTTACATGCATAATATTTTTTTTCAAAGTAGTGACTATGTTTCCAGTATTACATAACTAAACTATGTTCACGTGTTAAAATAAAACAAGAATACAATGGAATGTGAATAAGTATTCAAAAGCAGAACTGTAATAGTCTTAAATCAAGAATATAATTAAGAATAACCATAAGAATATTAACAAGTAAAAAAAATAGTCAATTCTTTTAAGTGAAAACCGTGTACACAGTAATTTTATATTTTGAGGACTGCATCACTTTTAGTTTTAAATAAACTTCAAAGGGAGTGGTATTATATTTCTGAATCTCAGAAACATTGCACACCTGTTAACAGACCACAAGAAGAAACAGTAAGATGGATTGATTTACAGATTTCAAGGTGAAAAAGTAGCATGTTGACTCCAGAAGAAAACATAGGAAGTCGTTCAGTGCTGTTTTTAAGATCAATTACTGTATGTTGTTCGAATTTCCATTTTTTATAGTGTAAAATGAATCTTTATTACAACTGTTTGACACTACTGGTTTAGCTGTTTCTGGGTTAAAGAGGAAGTCACTTTAACAAATTAACTTCGACAAACTGGGGATGGTCTTTAAGAGGAGCACAAATTTAATTCCACCCCTGGTTTTTTTAATTATTTTGACTAAAGAGTCAAAACGTGTATTTTCGGGTTTGAATTCAGTTCGTCGTTAAAAGAAGATAACCATATCTGAATGCACCAAAGGAAAACAAAACTGCATAAAGTCATTTTTTGCAAAGCGTGACCAAAATGTTAAAACATATAATATTATACTGGGAATCCCTCCTGATGAAAATTTTACTGAATTATTCAAATATTGTCTGGCTACTGACAGATAGATCTTACGAGGAAGAGACTTCAGAGCTATAGTTTAAAGCAAACTTTGAATTATGGGAAAAGTAACTTATTACTGTATTTGCTTCAGCTCTCTGGCCAGTTCACAAACAGGCTTCTAATTTGCCAAATAAGCCACCTTAAGGGATTGTGATCATGGAGGCGAAACAACTCTCCGAGGCTGGGTGATTTTAACCTTTTCATCTGCAGAAAGGACAAGAGGAAGCTTTGAGGAAGTTAATTTGAAATGTAACACCGAGACTAGGCGGCGCTTCGTTGTGAGAGTGTGAAACGAGCAGGACCCGCCATTTTGCTGCAGCCGTTCCCCTTGCTTCCTTCAAGAAATGGCTGGGCGAGCTCCTCCAATCAGGACCGGAGGCAGGGCTTTACACAAAGGGTTGTAGGAGTGTGAAACAACCAACCCAGCCACTGGGCTGAAGCAGACACCCTGGCATCTTGGGTTAATTAGTTAGATGGAGCCCAATAACCACCTCTCATTTTGGAACCTTATTTTCTTAAACGTATTACTGACAATTCTGTTTCAATGTTCAGAAGGAGAAATTAGGGGGCTTTTTCGATGTTTCTGCTTCCCATCAATTCGAAAGGACCGAAGCTAACGAATATGCACCTTCTGATGAAAACCAAACTGGCTGGGGACTGCAGATGGAAACTCATGTTCCGCTCCCTGTGAATCAGTGCACTAATCTTGAAAGCGCTCAGACTTCAGGAAAAGCTTCAGTCTTGTTCAAGCGAGGGGAAAGATGATGCTGCTCTCTCTTCCTGCCTCACTGGTGAGCGCCCCTTCAACTGTTGAACCTCAACTTTCTTTTTTCTATTTCCTCCTACAGACCACAGTGGTGCTGAAATTTAGCAAAATGGTGAGAAGAGAGGATTGTCTTCTCCTGTTGTGGATTGGTGAGCACAATAATACTAATATCATTGCTAATAATAATACTAATTAAAATACTTATACCAATGCCACTATCAATTAATATCAATGCTAATATTAATTGAAATACTGATACTGATACCAATGCTAATAGCAATACTAGTGTTAGTGTGTAGGGATGCAAGAGTTCACATTGCTGTTCAGTGAAGGCTTGAAAAAGAGGTTTAATCTGTTATGAGAAGGGCTATTTCCAAACGAGAACACACAAAGGTGTGTTGTCCTGGTGTGCCCTGCAATCAGTCAGTCTTTAAAGGGTTTCTGTAATCTGACTCAATATCGGTCAATGTCTTGTGTCCCAGTAAATGTTGTATCTCTCAAGTGTTGTGTGCATGTCTGTTTCACACTCTCCAGCAGCCTTTGCGCACCCTGCACAGGGTGAGGTTTTCTACGTCAGGGAGAACAGCAGGAGTCTGGATCTTCCCTGCAGCTCCTCGCATCTTAAGAGCACCAGTTGGAAATACTCTTCAAATGGGAACGATTATAGACTGATTTTCACTATCGACAAATCCGGCAGCCAGCGCAAAGGTAAAGACATTAAGATAAGAGATCGCTTTATTGGCCCTATACAATTTCTTGCATTAGGAATTCGTCTTTTCGCAGACCCCAGCTTGCTCTCCCTGAAACACACAGACAGGGAGAGAAGCTTGGGGTCAGAGCGCAGGGTCGGCCATTTATACCGCACCCCTGGAGCAGGTGGGGTTAAGGGCCTTGCTCAGGGTCTCAACAGAGTAGGATTCCTCTGCCGGCCGCGGGATTTGAACCAGCAACCTTCCGGCCACAGGCGCAGATCCTTATCCACAGTGCCACCGCTCAGCCATTACGGTGGTTGATTCTGTTGGTGGGTCACTTTTAGAGCTCTCTGGCTTTGAAGAGAAATGTTGCTTTTTCTTGCAGGAAGCTATGATTTGTCAATATCACCTGCTGTCGTTGTGGGGACAGGTTGTTAATATACTTCACATGGCTCTGTACTGTTAGATAGATAGATACATTATTGATCCCCTGAGTGCAACAGCGGCTTAAGACAGTCAACACAGCACAGTGTAACGAAATGATACAATAATACAACAATACAATACAGTACATACAATACAGCCAGTGAGAAGTGCACTAAGAAGAGTTGCTCACAGTCCAGAATATACAAACAACAAACCAGAACAGTACACAAAACTGTTTTTAAAGTCATGTAATATAAGTAAATAATATTATAAATTAGTATTAGTTATTAGTTGACAATAAAATTGTATTAGTTGAGTAGAGTAATAGCATTCATGATAAAAATCATGATCAACTTTCGTTGTCTCAGGACATCAGTTTCCTGCACAAGGCCGAGCAAAACCAGGTGGGCGTGGCCTTCAGATCAGCCCAGTCAAGAAGAACGACAGCGGGTGGTATATGTGTGAGCAGGATCAAAAGCAACTTGTAACACACCGGCTGCTCATCATAGAGGGTGAGCTTCATGCTGGGATGTCACACAGTGACACAGTGAAGTCAGTCATCTTTCACTCTCCCTCTCCTGCTTTCTTCTGGCACTCTAACAATCAGTCAGCTTGTATATTAATATTCATCTTCTCTATTACCAAACAGTGATGATTCTACAATGTATTACACACCCTTCTCACCCTGTTTTAGTCTTCACTAAACCAGAAGGTCCATTCCTACAAAACACCAATGTGACCATGCACTGCCAGGTCGGGGGCAGGACCTCGGAGAAACTGAAGTGGTTATCGCCCAATGGGGCAGAGGAAGGGGAGGGAACTGTGGAAATCAGTAAAATAAGCCCCGCCCACACTGGGAACTGGAAGTGTGAGATTACTGATGTGAAGAAATATGTGGAGACCCTCAACATAGACGTGTTAGGTATGGTGTGTGTCCGTGTACCGAGTGTGTAAATCATACAGTGTGTGTACCATTGCATTTGTGTATACTAGGTGTGTACAGTATCTGTATAAAACGTGTAGGTGTATAAAGGGCATGTATATCCTGTGTGGATTAACAATAGGTATATACTGTATAATATATTGTATATGTCATAGCTCACTAGCCTGAATATGATCCTGCCTTTAGTTTTCCATGTCTTGGTAATCCTAAGGTATTAAAATGAAGGTATTTCTTTTTTTTTTTCTAAAATCATTATTGACGATTAAATTACATAAATCCATTGATCTTTATAGCAATTTTCAGAAGCTTCAAATTTACTACAGGGCTATATTTACTTTAATACACAATATATACTTTAAATATACAGTAGTACATACACTTTATATCTCATATAGTGCTATATTTACTTTATATATCATAAACCTAGATGCTGTAACATTAATGTTCCCGTAGTGAAATCTTGGAAGTGAATTATTGCCTTTTTCATGTTATTTTTGTGGGGGAAATTCAAGATTTTGCTTCATTAGTTCTTTGTAAAGAATAATGGAGATAATACTCAGGATAGAATCATACTATATAGTCCACAATCTAATTAGCTTGCAGTGTGCTAATACCTTATATTCATTGTATTAGATCCAATGAAAGGGTATTGGTTGTGTATATATAGCCTCTATATGTGTATTTAGTGTTCATTAATGGCCCATGTGTGTTTTCTTTGTGTATTTTGTACTTGTCTGCTGTTTGTGTAACTTTTACGATGCTTTTGTGAGTCAATGGGAAAAGCACACTTCTGTCTCAGTGGTGTGTTAATTTGTTCTCAGGTCAAGTCAGAATGTCAACAAGTGTCTGTGTGAACCACACCAGCCTCTCCTGCTCTTACTACTGTTCTAAACTACTGTTACTGTAGTTACCATGTCCACATTATTGCTCTCCTTTCCTTTCTGTCCCTCTCTGTCAGGTATGAATCCCCAGCCCCTGTCAAAACAAACAGCAAAGCAGGGAGACAATGTTTTCCTGCCCTGTCTGCTCTCCTCCCCTTTATCCTACACGTTTCGCTCCCTAAACTTCATCAGAGGAGGGTGGATGAAAGATGATAAGCCACTGCTGGATCTGTACGTTCAGATAGGAACACACATGTCTTGGAATGCCACAATGTTCAAAGAAATTGAATACCCTAAAGTAAATGACCTGAAAACAAACCTGTCTATCTCTCTCATAAAGGTATGCTCAAGTCATTTACCAAAACTCATGTTATATGAGTATCCATGTGTTAGGGGTGTCTGTATTAAAACCTGTATTAAACTCTCTGTCTAAGGTATATTTCTAGGATCTGTGATAGGTGTGTCTCTAGGGTCTGTATTAGGTTCTGTATTAATCTCTGTGTGTGAGGAGTGTCTCTAGGGTCTATATTAGGGTTTTTCAGATGTGTCTGTAGGGTCTATATGAAAGTCTATTAATCTTTCTATGCTTCACATGTCTACATAGTGGACATAAGAATTTGTATTAATCTTTGTCTCTAAAACTATTATAGGCTCTTTATTCTTGTATTGAATAATATGTAGCCTCCTAGTCAACCACGAGCCCTTAAAGCCTTGAAAGTGATGATCTGGGAAAAGGCACTGATGACTGATTCATTCATTCATTCATTCATTCATTGCAGGTGAAACCACAGCAGTCTGGAATTTACAACTGTTATTTGCGTTTCAAGGAGGGGACAATAACGTCCACTATTGTACTGAAGGTGGAAGGAGCTCCCGGAGGCACAGGAGACACTAGTCACTCAAGTAAATATAGAGGCTGGAGCCATTGTTTTTATGTTTCAACTGGTGTGAAAGAGGGGTATATTCTGTGCTTCAGACTCTCAGTGCTCCTCTTTCTCCCTCAAACTCAGATACAGGCTCAGCTGAATCTGTCTCAGTGTTTGGACTGAACATGAATCTTTGGGTTCTGGTGTCAATTGCTATTGGCTCAGTCGTCTTGATTATCCTGATCATCGTAGCCATCATCCTGTTATTGAGGAAGAAGAGACTGAAGGTAAATCGTCCTGTACTGAGTGCAGAATTTATAAACATGACTTCTAAGTTTCTTTTGCCTTACCCAGAATTGTAATAAACCGAAATGTGAAAAATGGAATGGGTGTAGGGTTCAGGAACTACAGGGCCAAAATCCTGTGGGTTTTCTGGGTGTCTCTCTCTCTGAAGGCAAATTGAAGGAAAACATTTCCATCTAGTCCAATTATGATAATGATTAGGTCAATTAGGTCATTAACAGCAGAGCAGGGATGACACTGTGACACTGTGTATGCCCAAGAAGGAAATTATGCACACTGATTTCAAAGATTTGACAATGCTTTGTCACTCTTTAGATTAGGATTGCTCAGCGCTGGGCTCATCCATTCTACACCATCGCGGGGTTTTTGTTGCAACCAGCTCCTTGATTACTCGCTTGATAATCAGTAGGGTCAACATAAGAAATTGGTCGTATGTAATGTGATGGAGAAGACTGGAAGGGTAGTCCTGATTTGGAAAATTGTTGTGATGCTTCTTCCCTGCACGGATCCCCACATCCTGCTCCTGCAAGGCCAGTGTGTCTGCAGGTTTTCACTACCACTTAGCTCATTGCTGCCATAATCGGAGCAAGTTAGCTGCTCCTCCTAGCTGTTAAGACGCTGTTGCTTTGAAGAGACCTAGAAAGCATGCAGCTACACCGGCTTGACCAGGCTTGAGCAGGCTTAAGCAGCAGTAATATTTTGCATGGTAGTGTATTACTGGAAGATAAGGTAATATTTTAATGTACAATTTAATCTCTAAATAAAAATGTACAGTGTGCAAATCAAAGCTAAAAGATTATATTTACATTCATTCATCACAAATGATAAATACAGAAAGTGGCTTGTTTTACTGACTTGTCATATCCATCATGACCAGGATTGGGGACCCCAGATTGCTCCAAGTGGTGTTTGATGATCACTCCCTGGGGTGGGGTGGGGGATTTGGATCTGCCTGGGTGTCTGTCATGTGTTTGGGCAGGAGTGATCCACAGGATCTCTTGCCTTGACATATTTTCTTACGGCGGGGGGTTCACAAAAACCCCACCCTCAGAGCCACGCTGTTAGCCCTCCCCGATTGCATGATGTCCTGACTTTGCAAAGCTCTTAAAAAAAATGTTTTATTTTTCTGGTCCGCTGTCCGTGTGACCTTAATTCAAAATGGCCGATCTCCAGGAGAAGAGAAATGTGTAAACAAAATAGTATTTTCATCCCTTTGACCCTGTATTGTGAATGTTTCTCTCTTCTCTCTCCAGAAGAGGATGAGAAAACGGAGATCGCAGAGACAGCCACTGACCGCCCGTGACTACTGCCAGTGTAACCGGTAAGAATGATAACGCATTGAGAAACAGCACCACCACACTGCTCACAAGCCCTGTGGGGAAATTGCACTTTGCAGTAGAAATACAATAATTAATACTGTAATGTCCTAAGACTGAGTATCATTTACCCTAATTCTTAAACATATTTACTAATCAGGGCACTGCTACTTGTTAGGCACCTACAGTACTAGAGTTACAGAAGATTGTGATAATGTGGTGAAAATTCATAAACAGTGGCCTCTCTCTACATGTAGGAGCTGGGAAAACTGTGGTTCTCAGTCACAAAACGTCTACCGAGCTGCTACTACTTCTATTTACACTTACTGTGTTGCTTCCACATCTTCTAGAAGTACGTTTGATGGTGATGAGGATGGTGACGATAATGCTCATGATGATTGTGTTTATTTCAGCAACAACGTGAGCCGAAACGTGGGGAGACAGCGGGAGAATGGAAACTCTCTGAAGCAACAGCTCCACTGAGCGAAGGCAGTGTGTGGTTTGTGTTTGTGTTTGTGTTTGTGTTTGTGCGTGTGTGCATGTGAGTGAGCGAGAGTGAGACGAACAGGAACTGAGTGTGAGAGAGGCGAGTAGAGGAGAGATGGCAGAGGGCATATGTGATCAAGTGTGAAAAGAGTGTATGAGATAAGTGATGAAGACATGTCTGTATGGAGAGCTCAGGCTGTGACTATCGGAATCCGAGCTATCAGACTCAACGTTCATACTCTCATGGAAGTTCCTTTAGTTATACTGTATATGCACAGGATTGTTCTACAGTTTGGAATTCTTGTATAACATACCCCTCTATTTTAGACCAAGATTTTACAGTGTTTGTATGCATTATTCTGCTTTTACCCTGCTGTGCTGCTGCAAATTCCTGTATGGGTGCACTTTTTCTCCTCCCCAGTACACAGCTCTGATGTCAGGCCAGTTGTGGAGAGCAGTTTGTACTGAATTCAATGAGCCGACGCCTACAGACATGGTAACACTTTTTTGGGGGGTGCTAATGGGTAAGAAAAAAAAAGGATTGTATATAGGTGCTTGTGTGAAAGTGTGTGTATGTGTGTTAAAGAGAGATTCCAGCATTGACATTTGGAATGTGCTTATATTTCATCCATATATTTCAAGTTGCTTAAATGTAGTGCATGAGGTATTTCCTTAATATTTAGCTGATTGTATCAACCTTTTAATAAAACATTTGAACAGAAACCAGACTTTGTTGTCTGTGTGACTACAATGCTTTGATAAACTTACAGTCGATTAATTCTGCTACAGCACTATAAAATACCATGGCTTAGTAAAAGTACAAAACAGTCGTCTTAAAGTACTATACAATGGTGAAAATGCAGAATAGTTATGTGACAGCACTGTATGACTGCAATATTAAATAGTATATATGTTACAGTAAGAGTGTTGCAAAATAAATGTAGAAATACAACAGTTTGAACAGAGGACTTTCTAATTATATCTTAGAAAAAGAGAAGAATTCTCAGCATTATCAGCCAAGTGCTTAGGAAAGAGAAACCTGTTCAGAACTCTTGTACCATAATTCAATGTGGTTTTGCATGAAAGCTTGCAAAGAAATTGATCAGATGCAACCACGTCTCCGGAGCTCAATAAGGACACACGGGGTTCCCAAATACACACCTGTGGCTGTTTATACACCCCTGTCTCCCCTGTGGCTAAAACACCAGAGCAGGTGTGAGAGCCCAGCAGCAATTAAAACACCAAACATGCTGAATGACAATCTGGTGCAGAGAGACACAGCTGTCACTGCACCGGCAGCCTGAGAGAGAATACACACAGCGCATAGTTACACCTTTCATGGCTTAGCAAGATCAACTCCTTGATGTTTGCATGGCTTTTGATACAATAAGCATTCAGTGTTTCTCAATTTCTTACAAACATTCTTGGTACTGCAAGCAGTGTGCTGCAGGTTTCAGTCTTAGGCCCCTTGCTTTTTGTTATTATATGCAAACATGGTCTTCATTTTTACTGCTATGCTGATGATACTTGGACTTAAATGCTCTTCCCCCTCCAGTTTCCTCCATCTCTTGTTTGCGTGACATCAAATTCTGGTTGAGATAAAATTCACTGAAGCTACTGTACATCGTGACAAAGCAGAAATCTTACTGGTGGGCAGAAAATGGCAGCTGCCAAAAGATGCAGAGCTTTGCAGTATTGATGGACGACTTCCTCCATGCAACAGTTGTAGTCAGGAATATGGGAATCACACTTGATCCTCTCCTGTCTGCTGAAACCCACAAGAAAAAATTGAAAAATGTGTCTTTTTTTTTCACCTAAGAAATATCCATCAATCACAGTTTATTTATCAAATGCACAGCAATACAGCATGCAGCAATAGTTGTTGGCAATGAAATGTCTCTAATGAAATGTCTTTATATTGCCAGGATTAGGCAATTTCTATTCATGCATCTATAACATCAAGACTTGATTTCTGCAACTTTTTACTCTATGGGCTTACTTACACTCTTCTCAACAAGTTTCAATACAGTATGTCCAAAACTCTATAGCTACAGTAGACGTCTAACTCACAACAGACCTTGGCAGCATTCATTTAAGTCTACATCAGTTGCCTATTAAGTCACATATTCAGTATAAGATCTTGTTAATGACTTTCAAGGCTCTGAACAATCTGGCTCCATCATACAGTACATCTCTGAGCTCCTCCATGTTTACACTCCCTCTCACAGGCTCCAGTCAGCTGAGGCTGGGTCTTTGCTCACTACACCCGGGACTAAATCATGGACTTTTGGCAGCTGTGCCTTTCCTGTCACTTCTCCATGTGGAATTATGGAGAATGTCCATCCTCAGACTCTACGCGAGAAAAATTCTCAAATACTAGATCAAAGCTCATCACTTTGCTAGGGCCTATGTTTGATTGACCTACATTCTACCTGTATGAACCTGCATGTTCTTGTTTATTTTTTTCTTTCTTTTACTTTGCATGGTACTTTGTAATTTGTCTTTTTCTTGATGTACGGTGTCCTTGGGTTTGCAAAGGCAATTTAATCAAACGTTTTGTTATTATTAGACTTGAAGCACTTGGGGATTTGAAACTCCAAAATAGTTTGACCTGAATTATAGACGGGCACCAGTGATAGACATTGTACACAGAAACTGTAAAAAGACCTAGTTTATTACATTTAAAATGCAAACTGCAGATAGATATTGTATAGCACTTTCAGAACCTTTCATATAAGAAGCTTTTGAAATCACAAGGAATTACACATACTGTACAAGAGACAGGGTGATAGAGTAATGATACATCATGTACATAGACTATGTGTACAGATCATGTACTGTACATAGGCAATGTAGAGAGAAGCTGAGAACTAATATTATTTGTAGACAATGTTTTTAGAGCATATAGGCATACAGTTGTATCAAACCCATACATAGATGGGTAGAGACTTATATACTGTAAGTAGACAACTTTGGATACATATGTGGGTAAAACGATGTAGAGACACACTGTGGATTGTCCCTGTATGTGGAAAACACTGTAGACAGAACCTGTAGGAATACATATTGGACCAACCTTAACACTGTGGATACATTCTGTAGGAAAACACTATGAATTAATCCTGTTACTAGACATTGTGGATCAATCCTGTAGGAATATACTGTGGATCAACCCTGTAAGAAGACATTTTAGAATGATCCTGAAGGGAGACACTTTTGATAGATCTTGTAGTTAGGTACAGTTAATCTCTTCATAGGTACTGTCAAGAGTTGTCATAATTAGATTAGGTATATACTACTGATTAGCAGACTTCTGTTTTCGTGATTCATCTTCCATGAACTTGAATAAAAGGGAAGATATGAAATGAGAAGTTCTGTGAATTGAAGGAGCTTTGTGTTTAACACATCTCCACTCTCTCTTCCTCCAATCCAAGCCTTACAAGAATGAAGAATGCTGATCAAGCTATACTGTATACTGTGGGATAAAGTATGTTGTAAGTGGCACAGAATTGCACGTTTTTATTTTTATTGTGATGACTGTGTCCAGTGCAGGTATTGTATGAACTCTCTCAGTGCACTGATAAAGGACTGTCTGGTCAGTACTGTAGTGTCCACCACTGGTATAGTTTGAATCAAGTTCTCACAGTGCAGATTTAAAACTCTCTCTGTTTATCACACAGCTCAAAACCCCCAAAACCTCCATCTAGCTTCTGTTTCTCTTTTCGCTCCCCTCTTCCTGTTTCTCTCTCATTTGGGTTTTGAGTAGGGGGGCCGGATGGAGTGATTTTTTCAGAGAAATAGGGAACTAGTGGTTTGGTGTGCAGAAGGAGTGACTAGGGGGGTTAACTGGGAGAGGCAGCAGGCTGAGATTGACTGCCACACATCTAGAGAGAGGAAGACAGAGGGACAGGGCAGATATACTGACCTGTTGTCCCTAACACTACACTCCATTACCACTGATTTGAAACCTATATGTATATTCACATCTTTCCAGATGCCCTGAAACACCAGCTACTTTTTCGAGTCAAAACAGGATATTCTAGCATATGTTACTTGCTTTGTCTTAATAACAGATTACTGTTAAAACAGTGTTTTAATACCTGTAATTTCTGGGTCATTTTAATAAACTGGTTTTCAACAACTTGGTTAGATCCTAATGAAGGTGATAGAGGGATGAATGTTTGAGATGGTATTTGGCGTAATTCTCCATAGCAAGAGGAAAGGCAGATTAACTGCGAGGATGAGGCTAACTGAACCCACCACACACTTCCCTGAGGAACAAGCCGGAGAGATGCTGCAAAAATATATTTGGGGTGAAAGAGTTATGGGAAACAAAAGTTTGGTGGATGAGATATATATGTATGGAAGCAGAAGCAAACAGGCATATACCAGACATATTGGCAAGTGCCCTATAACCAGACCTTCTTCTAAAACGTCTGGTTATAGGGCACTTGCCAATATGTCTGGTATATCATCTTTGTAATTCATAAGCGATTAGCAAATTAGTAAATTATACACAGCAATACACTGTGAGGGCACAGCCACTCCACACAAAATGGTGGCCTTTTCTGGATCACATTCCCCAGAAGCCTTCGGGAAATGAGTTGCAGCTGTCCTCAGTCACCTGACCTGTTGGGGGAAGATGATTGGTCGGGCGAGTCTTTAAAAGGCAGGAAGTCTGGGACAGTCAGCCACTGAGTGATGTTGGTGATCTGAGAACGGAAGCCAGCCTGTTGGGGCGACAGATCACCAGAAAAGCAAGGACTGACCAGGAACAGGAGAAACTGTGGAGCTGTGGACAAAGAACCCGTGAGTGTTTGCTAGTGAAGAAGTTGAAACTCTGTGAGGACAGAGAAATTCCTATGTGGAACTGAGGTCTGTCTATAATGTCTCAGGAAGAGACTTTTGTACGTGAAGGAGTCTTGAGAGAAGATAGCTGGTTCATGAAGAGTCTCTGGGAAAGGCTGAATTATTTTTTTAAGCTGGTAAGAAGCTTAGCTGTTAGATAGGGTTCGTTAGGCTCTGAAGAATTTCGTTAGCAGATGAAGATCTAGGTTGTTTGGTTTGTGGTGGCTGCTGTTTGTTTTACCACCTTAAATAAAGAGCACTGTTTTGAACCATAGAGTGTTGTTGGGGTCTGCTTACCTGGAACTGTCTGTTTTAGACAATTTTGGTTTACCACTCCCAGTGTGGCATCACATGAATGTACACTATTCCTATACATCATGGTGAGAAAACATTCACATAGAATTTAGTTTACAGGCAATGTGAGTTATGTCCACCCTTAGAGGAATGACATTGAATAGCAATATAAGAGTTTCATGTTATATTGCATTAAGCAAGTCTTTGAATTTAATTATACATTATCTACAGCATCTAATTCTGGTGGAACAGTTGGTACCCAGTGAATATTATTGACCCAAAATGACACTAACCCAGTAAAGTGATTCCAATGTTCCTGGATACTCAGAAATTCCCATGCAATTATTCATTGTTTTTCCCCAAAGATAACTGGGATCAAATACAAAAAAAATGTAAACATCAAAAGTAACAGTAACACAAATGTACACACAATCTGTCTTAACATAATTCTGACTTGACAGGACAAAATATGTTTGTAACTTAAACTTTTTCTGGAAAAATATTATAATGTATAATATATAAATTACAGCATACAGTCATCAGTGCAATCTGTCCATTAGAAAGCGCTTGGTATTATAGTA